CTCTTTTACCGAGAAAAATTCTTTGCATACCTTATGTACAGCGAGGAGTCATTTGACGAGGGGTTATGGTAAGATAGGTATATGTAAAATATTTTTTATAGTAATTATTTTATATAAATATATTATTATAATATATTTTTATATTATAATAATATATTATAATATTTATTATATATATTATAATATATTATTTATTATATATTTTTATATTATAATAATATATTATAATATTATAATATTTTGAATATATTATTATACTATATTTTATATTAAATATAGTAATTATAATATATAAATATATTTAAAATATTTTATATATTATATTATTTATTTTATTATTGTATATAGTATTATATATAGTACTATTAAGAAAAATTCTTTGCATACCTTATGTACCGCGAGGAGTCATTTGACGAGGGGTTATGGTAAGATAGGTATATGTAAAATATTTTTTATAGTATATATTATATTATTTACTTTATTATTGTATATAGTATTATATATAGTACTATTAAGAAAAATTCTTTGCATACCTTATGTACCGCGAGGGGTCATTTGACGAGGGGTTATGGTAAGATAGGTATATGTAAAATATTTTTTATAGTATATATTATATTATTTATTTTATTATTGTATATAGTATTATTATATATAGTATTATTATATATAGTACTATTAAGTATATTATTTAAGTATATTATTTAAGTATTATTATTATTTAAGTATATTAAGTATATTATTTATTATATATAGTACTATTAAGTACTGAGTATCGTTCTGCTAAAATAAGATAGAAATAAGTTGAACTAGTTCTAGTTGAAACTCTGAACAGCCAGAGCGTTAGCGAAGTGAATCATCGACAGGGAAACTATCGATTTCCACGGGTGTCGTTGCACGTGCACGCAGCGTCGCGCAAACGGCTGGCAGACTAGCTATTGTTCCAAAAGAATTCGCGTACGTGCGTGGGTGTGTCACGAATGCACAAATGCCTTGGAATTTTAAGCGAATGCAGAAAACCCATGACGCGTTACTCTCGATCGAGAGTGAAAATCTATGCTGCACGAAAGTCGCCAGCAAAGTCGACGACCGAACGAATACCACACACATACTATCTTACACATAGAATTTAATACTCCATCTTGGGGATTTAGGAGATTAAAAAGTACGAGTCAACGTTGTTCGATCTTTTAATTTTAGAACTTTCGATGATTTAAAAACGGTTCAATTTTTAAGTTGTTTCTTCTTTTAAATCTTGGATATTTATAGTTCCCGAAATATCCGATTTTTAAATTTTCAAGTCTCTAAGTCGTGGGATTTTCAACTTTTTAAACTCTTTGACGCGACAGTTCTGGTATTTTCGAATTTGCAAAGACTCAGGAAAGCCTAAGTTTCCAAATTGTCAAATAGAGCACATTTTCAATCTATTCTGACTTCCCAGATTTCTGGAGTTTCGAATAATCAATTTCTAAATATCCAAATCCCCTGCTTCTGGAATTCTCAAGCTTTCGATTTCTTCCATTTGAAAATTTATATATTCTAAATTTTCAAACTTACAGACATTTTTAAATTGTTAACTTTTCTTATTTCTGAAGATTTGCATTTTCGAGTCTAAAAATTATAGACTCTTCAATTTTTCCAAATTTGAATTATTGAATTTGCAAATTTTCTGCTTTCCGAATCTTCAAGCTTTCAGATATTATAAAAACACAGTTTAGATTTTCACGCTTATAAAAGACATGGCATTTAATTTTTATTCATATTCCTAGCAATTAACCAAAAAGTGCTAGTGTACAAATTAGAACACATCGAGCTTCATGTCAGTAATTGAAGCAGTACATAACTTCAGACGTGAAAGTTATAATTTAATTAAACTTAGAAATATAACGAATTACATGTACATACATATGTTACGTAGAATCAAAGAACTGTACACAATTTTGAAATTAATGAATAAATATCATAAGTGTAACAAGAATTGATTCTTACCGTAAAGTAAAACATTCGCTAATTAACACCAGTATCAAAGAATAAAAATTAAATAAAAATGTTCCGTTTATTAAAGACACGTTGAAATATAATTATTCTATAATATCTAACATTATCGAGGAATCGTTATCGACGAAATGTATTAATGGCGATAACAATTAAAGTCATACACGAGTATATGTAAGTACAATCTTTTATGTAATTTGTTTCTGGTGGTTCTAACGTGACGAAAATTCGATAAGAACAAGTTTTCTTATCAAGATGCCCACTCTTCCTCGAAAACACCTTATTTGTACAGGAAATGTCTTTATGAGGGTCGTGCCTCCTATTAACTGCAAGTAAAAATTCCATCGACAATAATGAAAATTAAATTCTCAATTCTCTATTATTCGTTGCTTCGTTGATCAATGAAAAAATAAATGATTTCTAGATTGCAGATGGAACCTAAATTTTATTAAAATAAATTTCTTTATTTTATTTTATTCGTATATTCTATTTCGTGCATTTTTTTTTTTTT